CGGGGGGGGGGGGGGGGGGGGGGGCGGCGCGGGGGGGGGGGGGGGGGCCGCTGGCCTGTGGAGGGTGGTTGTTGGGGGAGGGAGCCACCTGAGGTAAGCGCCACCTGGCCAGAGCCTGCACCCCAACCCCCAGCCCAGTGAAAGTGAGCGAGGGTGGGGGAGAGCGAGAGATGGAGGGGGGCTGGAGTGAGTGGGGGCAGGGCAGGGGTGTTTGGTTTTGTGCAATTAGAAAGTTTGCAACCCTGGGGGGGGGGGCAGCCTATGGCGGGGGAGGGTTGCTGGGAGGGGCCCGGCCTGTGGGGGACTCGGGGGGGTCCCTGCCGTCCAGCCCCCGCTGACCGACCCCCCCCAACGCCCTGCAGCCAACGAGGACGAGGAGTGCGAGGACGAGGACTGCGGTGGCCCCGCCGTGGTGAGAAGCCACTTCCCGGAGAGCTGGCTGTGGGAGAAGTTCAACCTGACCGAGGCAGACTCGCGCCAGCCGGGGTGAGGGGGGCCGGGCCTGGGGGGGCCGTAACCCGGAGCAGGGAGAACGTGGGGCGTCCCGCACGGCAGGGCACGGTGCAGCTTCCCCTGCCGCGGCCCCTGGGTGGGGATCTCTGGGTTCCCGGCTGCCCCCACGGCCTCCTGTGTCGTGTCAACTCCAGCCCAGGAGCTGCCCCAGGGCCTGGTCCAAAGCCCCCAGCCAGGATCCTGCTGCTGGCGCCAGGCCCCATGTTCAGTGAATGAGCCTGATTCGAACTCACCTCCCTCCCTGCAGCCTCGCCAAACACCTGCTCACCAAATACCTCCCCGACTCCATCACCACCTGGCACATCCTGGCCGTCAGCCTGAGGAAAGACAAAGGTAACCCAGCTTCTGGGGCTGCGGGTCGGGAGTGAGGGGCACCGGCAGAGCTGGGGGGGGCAGGGCTGGGCTAGCAGGGGCTGCGAGTCGGGAGTGAGGGGCACCGGCAGAGCGGGGGGGGCGGGGCTGGGCTAGCAGGGGCTGTGGGTCGGGAGTGAGGAGCACTGGCAGGGCTGGGCTAGGAGGGGGCTGCGTGTCGGGAGTGAGGGGCGCAGTGATGGCCCCAGTGTCCCTGGGGATACGGCCGGCTGACCCCCTGGCCCCCCAGGGCTCTGTGTCTCCGAGCCCTACGAGGTGGTGGTGAAGGTCCCGTTCTTCGTCGATCTGCGGCTGCCCTACTCCGTGGTGCGGAACGAGCAGGTGGAGCTGCGGGCCGTGGTGTACAACTACCACGAGGACGATGAAGAGCTGCAGGTGACCGGGGCTCCGAATCCTGGGGGGCCCCAGGGGGGGCTGGGCATGCTGGGGGGGGCTCTGGGGGCTGGGGGGCCCCGGGGGGGGGGCGCTGTCACTGCCCGCTGCTGCCCGGCTCAGCGGCGCCGGGTGCCCATACAGGTGCAGGTGGATTTCCCGTACCAGGAGCAGCTCTGCAGCCCGGCCCGGCAGGGGAAGAGCTTTCGGCAGAGGCTGCGGGTGCCCCGGGGCTCATCCCGGGCCGTGCGCATCGTCGTGGTGCCCCTGGAGCTGGGCCCCGTCATGGTGGAGGTTCGGGCCTTGGCCCATGGCCTGGGCTTCCGCGACATCGTCAGGAGGATGCTCAACGTCCAGGTAACGGCACCACCCGCCCCCCTTGCTGCCAAGGGGCTGGGGGCAGTGAGGAGTGGGGTCGGGTGGGGGAGCCGGGGGGGCTGGGTGGCTCTGGGGGGGTTGGAAGGGGCTGGAGGGAGTGGGGGCTGGGCAGGATCTGCGGAGGTCTGGGGTTGGGTGGGGGAGCTGGGGGGGCTCGGTGGAAGGGGCTGGGGGCAGTGGGGGATGGGTGGCTCGGGGGGAGTGGGGGGATGGGGGATGGACGGCTCGGGGGCAGTGGGGGATGGGGGGCTCTGGGGGAGTGGGGGATGGGTTGCTCGGGGGCAGTGGGGGATGGGCGGCTCTGCGGAGGTCTGGGGTCGGGAGGGGGAGTTGGGGGAGTGGGGGATGGAAGGGGCTGGGGGCAGTGGGGGATGGGCGGCTCTGGGGCAGTGGGGAATGGGCGGCTCTGGGGGGAGTGGGGGATGGGGTCGGGATGGAAGGGCTCCCTCCCAAGCCCCGCCCCTCAGACTCATTCTCGGCTCCTCGCGTTGCAGGCGGGGGGTGAAATCCAGCGGCTCTCGCGGAGCATCGTCCTGAACCCCAAAGGTTTGTGCGGGAACTCACTACGCGCCCGGCCCCGCAGCCAGACTCTGCACCGTCCGCCCCAGGCAGGGGCCCGGGGCCCGAGGAGCTCCCCCATGAGGAGGAGAAATGGCTGATGCGAGGCGGGGGTCCCTAGTGCAATCCCCGTTCCTGAGCATGGCCAGAGCCCCGCTCCCCTGGATGCAGCAGGAACAAGCAGCTACAGGGAGTTTCCAAGGCTGCCTTTCCCGCCAGTCCTGTGCCCAGCAGAGCTCTGTCCATCAGCTTCCTCCCACACTCCCACAGCCATGGTCCCACTGCTGCCCTCTGTGCTGGGTCACAGACACCCTCAGTGCTCGGCCCTGGCAATTTACAGCCAGTGCCCAGGGCAGCCCCTCAGCCCATGCGGCTTAGCTTCTCACGAGCTGTGCTGCCAGGCCTAGCCTTGGGCGGTGGCTCCTTGTTGTCCAGCTCTCACTACATAATGGGATTTAATTGCTCCTTCCATTGAGGCAGAGAGGGGAGCTTAGCACACCCAGGTCTGCGATTGTCTGTAGATCCAAGAGCCGGTAACACCTTCCAGGCAACAGGGATCAGGCGCCTGGCGCGGATTCTCCTGGCCTAGACTGCCCCGCAACGGGCGTCTCCCTGCCCCACACCCTCCCCTGTGACATTCAGCTCCGCACCCCCCTGCAGCCCCGTGGCAGGAGCTTGTTTATAACCAATCTGAGCATCGGAGCACCACTCCTCCCTCACCCCGAATGCTCCGTCCTCCCCTGGCAGGTCAACTGCAGCAGGAGCTGGTCAGAAGCCAACACCTCGAAAACCTGGTGCCCGACACAGACGCCGAGGTCTTCATTAGCGTGCAAGGTACGTGGGGTGCCAGCCGGGCACGGCTCCGCAGGGGCGCCAGGCAGCAAGTGCGGCTCGGCCTTTGAGCAGCCGCTGGGCCCGTGAACGTCCCCCCAGGGCTACCCTCCCCCGTTTCCCTGCCCTCTAAGCTCCAGCTCCAGGGGCCTCCCTGGCCCCAGCGCATGTGGTGGGACAGATTCCACTCTCGCCTACGCTGCTGTAAATCACCCTGCTCTGCCCCGAGAAACACGCCCCTCCCAGAGCCAGGGTGTAACGATACTAGCTTTCGCAGGACACATCGGAGAGTGTCAATTCAGGACAAATTGCTGAGAGCAGGGCAGTTACAGCCTGTCACGTTATTGACTTGAGCTGGGACCGTATAGAACATGGTTGCAACCAAAGTCCTGTAGTAGCACCAAATCTTGTATAAAGGGGGTCAAATGAGGTGTCTAAGACGAGGTTATGGTTGGCTGGTTATGATTATGCTGTCTATATGTGTGTATCAATTTTGTAGTTGAAGTTATGAATATTGGCTCTATACTGTCTGTATTTCAAACTTATGCTATGCTTCTGGGTGACATCCCAGACCAGTTGGTGTCAGCTCTGCCTAGCCTGCTTGATGGCCCATTAAGGACCATCAGCTATACAACTGACCCACTGAGAGAAGGCAGATACGCCTTGTAACTCAGCAAAGTATGCAGGGACTGGCTGTGACGATGTGGTTCTGGCGGAACCCAACTGAGAGTGCCAACTCAGGACAAATTGCTCAAACAGGGCAGTTACAGCCCTAGGCTGGGGTTTTTCCCCCTCTAAGGCAAACCAAACCAGCCAGACTAAGAGGACTTCGGTCTCACCCCACTGGCTAACCGCAAGTCTCACAAGCAATCTCCTAGACACTCTAGTTTCCCAGTATCACCACCAGTGCCACTCGTTATGGGGACAAATGGTTATGAAAACCAATATCCCAATATATACAAAAAAGGTTCTCTCAATCCCAAAGGACCAAGCCCCAGACCCAGGTCAATATACAACTCAGATCTTTCCCACAAATCACGCTGTTGCCAATCCTTTAGAATCTAAAATCTAAAGGTTTATTCATAAAGGGAAAAAGATAGAGATGAGAGTTGGAATTGGTTAAATGGAATCAATTACATACAGTAATGGCAAAGTTCTTGGTTCAGGCTTGCAGCAGCGATAGAATAAACTGCAGGTTCAAATCAAGTCTCTGGAATACATCCCCCGCTGGGATGGGTCCTCAGTCCTTTGTTCAAAGCTTCAGCTTGTAGCAAAGTTTCTCCAGAGGTAAGAAGCAGGATTGAAGACCAAATGGAGATGAGGCATCAGCCTTATATAGTCTTTTCCAGGTGTAAGAACACCTCTTTGTTCTTACTGTGGAAAATTACAGCAAAATGGAGCTTGGAGTCACATGGGCCAGTCCCTGCATACTTTGCTGAGTCTGAAGGCATATTGGCCTTCTCTCAATGGGTCCATTGTATAGCTGATGGTCCTTAATGGGCCATCAAGCAGGCTAGGCAGAGCTAATCCCAGCCTGTCTGGGATGTCACCCAGAAGCATAGCATAAGTTTGCCATACAGACAGTATAGAGCCATAATAATAACTTCAACTACGAAACTGATACACACATATAGACAGCCTAATCATAACCATTAAACCATAACCTTGTCTTAGACACCCCATTTGACCCCCTTTATACAAGATTTGGGTGCCACTACAGGACCTTGGTTGCACCAATGATCTATATGGTCCCAGTTTATGTCAATAACGTCACACTGGCCCATGTGACTCCAGACTCCATTTTGCTGTAATTTTCCACAGTAAGAACAAAGAGGTGTTCTTACACCTGGAGGAGACTATAAAAGGCTGATGCCTCTCCTCCATCTGGTCTTCAATCCTGCTTCTTACCCCTGGAGGGACTTTGCTACAAACAGAAGCTCTGAACAAAGGACTGAATGACCCATCCCAGCTGGGGATGTTCCAGAGACTTGATTTGAACCTGTGGTTTATTCCATCACTGCTACAAGCCTGAACCAAGAACTTTGCCATTTCTGTGTGTCATTGATTCCATGTAACCAATTCTAGCTCTCATCCAGATCTTTTTCCTTTTATGAATAAACCTGCCCTCTTTTAAGCAATTTGTCCTGAATTGCATGGTGTCAAGTATCAGAGGGGTAGCCGTGTTCTTCTGGATCTGTAAAATGCAACAAAGTGTCCTGTGGCACCTTAAAGACTAACAGATGTATTGGAGCATAAGCTTTCGTGGGTGAATACCCACTTCGTCAGACGACATGTGTCTGACGAAGTGGGTATTCACCCACGAAAGTTTATGCTCCAATACATCTGTTAGTCTTTATTGCTTTGTCCTGAATTGGCTCTCTCAGTTGGGTCCCGCCAGAACCAGCGTCGTTACACAGCCCAAAGCTGGGGTTTTCTCCCCCTCTAAGGCACCAAACCAGCCAGACAGAGAGGACTTCGGTCTCACCCCACTGGCTAACCACAAGTCACACAAGCAATTCCCTTAGATGCTCCAGGTTCCCGGTATCACCACCAGTGCCACTTGTTATGGGGACAAATGGTTATGAAAACCAATACCCCAGCCAAAGAAAAAAGGTTCTCCCGATCCCAAAGGACCAAGCCCAGTATATTGACCCAGGTCAATATACAAATCAGATCTTACCCACAAATCACGCTGTTGCAAGTCCTTTAGAATCTAAAATCTAAAGATTTATTCATAAAAGGAAAAAGATCTGGATGAGAGCTAGAATTGGTTACACGGAATCAATGACATACAGTGATGGCAAAGTTCTTGGTTCAGACTTGTAGCAGCGATAGAATAAACTGCAGGTTCAAATCAAGTCTCTGGAGCACATCCACAGCTGGGATGGGTCATTCAGTCATTTGTTCAGAGCTTCAGTTTGTAGCAAGGTCCCTCCAGAGGTCAGAAGCAGGATTGAAGACAAGATGGAGATGAGGCAGCTGCCTTTTATAGTCTCTGGCCATGTGGCCTCTCTTTCTTTGTCCCAAAGACAATCATCCAGCACATGGCCTGTAAAAACCTCTGAGTCTGTCCCTAGGCAGGTCTCAGCCTTGCTGAGTCACCAGGTGTATCTGCTTCTCTCATGGGTCAGTTGTAGCTGATGGTTTGTAATGAGCCATCAAGCAGGCCAGGCAGCGCTGACACCAAACTGTCTGGCGTGTCACCCAGAAGCAGAGCCCAAGTGTGAAATACAGACAGGACAGACAACCCTACAGACAGCATAATCATAACCAGCAAACCATAACCTCTGTATAGACGCCTCACACGACAACCTTCGTACAATATTTGCTGCAAATATATAACAGTGGTTGCAACAATGATCTATACTGGGGGTGGGCAAACTTTTTGGCCCGACGGCCGCATCGGGTTTTGGAAATTGTATGGCGGGCTGGTTGGGGAGGGGGGCGTGGCATCTGAAGAAGTGAGTGTTTTACCCACGAAAGCTTATGCCCAAGAAAATCTGTTAGTCTTTAAGGTGCCACCGGACTCCTCGTTGTTTTTGTGGATACAGACTAACACGGCTCCACCCAGATACTTGACACCATGCAGTGCTCTAACCACTAGCCCCCACTCCCCTCCCAGAGCCGGGGTACAATGCAGCTGTCCCGCTTCTCAGCAGCACGCGAGGCGTGGCCAGGCCGCCCGCAGCCAGCTGGGGCTGGGGGAAGGGACAAGCTGGGGTGTGAGTGCGCATCTCCTCTCCCTTGGCAGGCGACCTGCTCGGCGAGACGCTGGTGGGGGGGCTGCAGAGCTCCACGCTGCAGAAGCTGATCATGCTGCCGGGGGGGTGCGTGGAGCAGAACATCTTCAGCGTCACCCCGAACATCATCCTCACCCACTACCTGGACACCACCAAGCAGTGGGACCAGATCGGGGTGGAGCTCCGGGATCAGTCCATCCAGAACATCGCCCACGGTGAGCGGGGCCCAGCCAGGCCAGAGGGTGGGAAGGAGGGTTTGCAATGTGTGACGATGCTACACTCTGCCCAGCAGGGGGTGCTCTCCACTCTTCCCCCGCCCACTCTCCCTGAATCTGAGCCTGGGGGGGGTGCATGCAGCCCCCACCCAGCCCCCTGCCCTGGGACTCCGACGGCCCAGCCCCGACTGCGTGTCTGTTTGGGCTCTCCTGCAGGCTACACCCGCCAGCGGGGTTACAGAGAGAGTGATGGTTCCTACAAGCCCTATCGGGGAAGCACCGGCAGCACCTGGTATGGCACCTTCCTCGCGGGGGGCGGCGGGGCTGGGGATGGTGAGCTGGCCACAGCGTGCAATGCTGCCCTCCCCTGGCGGGGCGTAGAGCTGCTCGCGCTGCGTGTCATACACCCTATACAGCTCACAGTGAGTGGGGATTCTCCGTTCACTCCGGTGTCCTGGGCAGGGGCAGCGGGAGCTGGGGTCTGTGCTGGTGTGGGGGAAGGCCTGGCTGTGCTGATGCGAAGGGGGCAGGGCCCCGTCCACACAGAGCCCTGCAAGGGGGCAGTGCCACCGCCTGGCTCAGCTCCCCGCAGTGATGTGTTTGCAGCAGCTCCCTCGGGCACGGTGCCACCTGCTGCTGGGTCTGGCCACAGCTCTCCCGTGGCCTGGGAGCTCCCCTCCCCTCCAGCCCTGCAGATTCATGCCCCCGCACTCCCGGCAGGCTGACCGCCTACATCCTCAAGGTGTTTGCCATGGCCTTGCCGCTGGGCACCCACATCGACCCCAGCGAGCTGTGTGCCAGCGCCCGGTGGCTGATCGGCCAGAGGCAGGAAGCGTCTGGGTGTTTCCGCGAGGACGCTGCGATTTATACGCCCGCGATGCAGGTACCGGTCGCTCCATTGGCCAGACGGGAGGCCGGGCAGGAAACACAGGCCCGACAGATGGTGTGACGGGCTACGCTGTCCTGGCAAAGCTCCGTCCCTCGCCCGCGGTCACACCAGGGAGCCAGTGACAGCTCAGGGATCAGCACCCGGAGCCCCCCTCCCGCTGCTGCGTGCCGCTGGCTGGGCATGACGGCGCGGGCGCAGGGCCCCGGGAGGTGTTGGTTGGATCAGAGAACGACTGATCCAGCTTGTGCAGTTGCCTCCCCCGGGGGTACTTCCTGGGTATAAATTCCTCCTCGGGGAGATGAGGGAGTGAGTCCGGGACTGCGGAGCAGCGCATTAGCTGGATTTGTCTGCTAAGATGATCTGCAGCAAACAGAGCCAAAGTTGCTCGTGTCATCCTTAGGCTTCAGAGTCAACAACCCATTGGGGCAAGCGGGGCAGTTCGCCCTACACCCCCGCAGCCCTTCCAGTGGCGTAGCCAGCTTTTAAGAGGAGGGGGAGCAAACCTAAAAAAGGCGCCCGCCCTTGGCTCCTCCTCCGGACACGCCCCCCCTTGGCTCCTCCTCTGGCTGCACCGCTGACCGCCCCTCCCCCCCCGCCCCCCCGGCCGCGCGCCCGCCGCCCCCCCCCCCCGCCCCGCCGGCCCTGCGGCGGGTGGCCAGCCTGCGCCCCCCCCTTGCTCCTCCGGCCGGTGGCCGCCTTTGGAAAGGCGCCGCTTTTGGGAAAAGGGGTGAGGAGAAGCGGCTGCTTCCCCTGCACACCGCTAGCTACGCTACTGAGCCCTTGTCTCAGGCTCTCTGCACGCTCTCACCCCTGGGAGGGCTCAGGGACACCCTTTTACCGAGTGCCCTGGGCACGTGGCCCCCTGGCAGCTGGCTACACGGGGCGCACGGGCAGGCTCCTTTGGCGCCGTTCCTCCCTGCCCAGCTGCTGCTCGGCTCTGCCCCCGCCCCGGGCAGGGCCCAGTGATCGGGGGTCCGGGCGGGGGAAGGGAGCCAGGTGCCCGCACGGCTCCCATACAGCTCGCCCATCCCCCTCTGCTCTTCTTCCACAGGGCGGGTACCAAGGCTCCAACGCTGACGCCTCCCTCACAGCCTTCGTCCTCGTGGCGCTGAAGGAGGCCGAGTCCATCTGCAGTAACCATGTGAAGGTAGGACAGTGACGGCTGCCCCACGACCTGTCCCGCGGGCCCAGCGCGACCCCCTCGGCAGCAGCTGCACCGGCAGGGCCTCTGCAAAGCGAGCCCAGATGCCAGGTGAACGCTGCTGCCTTCGGTGGGACACCTCTGAGAGTGTCAATTCAGGACAAATTGCTTGGAGCAGGCTGGGGTCCTTTGCACACCCAGGCACCAAACCAGCCAGCCAGAGAGGACTTCGGTCTCACCCCACTGGCTAACCACAAGTCACACAAGCAATTCCCTCAGACACTCCAGTTTCCCAGTATCACCACCAGTGCCACTCGTTATGGGGACAAATGGTTATGAAAACCAATACCCCAGTAAAAGGGAAAAGGTTCTCCTGATCCCATAGGACCAAGCCCCAGACCCAGGTCAATATACAAGTCAGATCTTACCCACAAATCACGCTGTTGCCAATCCTTTAGAATCTAAAATCTAAAGGTTTATCGACTCTTCCAGGTGGTAGGACAACTCTTTGTCCTTACTGTGGAAAATTACAGCAAGATGGAGTTTGGAGTCACATGGGCCAGTCACATGTCCAGGCATGACTCAGTGCTTTACAGGTGGCAGCCATTGCTCACATGCTACCTCAGGGGTCCTCAAACTGGAGATTGGGACCCTTAGGGGGTCGCAAGGTCATTACATGGGGGTCGCGAGCTGTCACCCTCCACCCCAAACCCCACTTTGCCTCCACCATTTATAATGGTGTTAAATATATTAAAGAGTGTGTTTAATTTATTAGGGGGGTCGCACTCAGGCTGGCTGTGTGAAAGGGGTCACGAGAACAAAAGTTTGAGACCCACTGGGCTACCTTGAGCGGCCCCAGGAAGCCGTCTTATGTGGATTGGAGCCTCCCAAGGTCTATTGTCAGTTAAGTGTTTCTGGACTGGGCACTTAACTTGCAAATTCCTTTCTCCAGAAGAACCGGAGTCCTTGTGGCACCTTGAAGTGGGTTTTAGCCCAGGAAAGCTTCTGCCCAAATCAGCGTGTTAGTCTCTCAGGTGCCACCGGACTCCTGTTCTGTTTGCGGATACAGACTAACACGGCTGCTCCTCTGAAAACTGTCTCACGAAGCCGACCACATGCTTCACGGAGGCTACTTAGAATCAAACACATTGAGACACAAGTACAGAGCCAATATTCCTAACTTCAACTACACAAATGACACAAACACACAGAGACAGCATCATCCTAACCAGCAAACCAGAACCTCTGTATAGACGCCTCACACGACAGCCTTGGTACAATATTTGCTGCAAATATATAACAGTGGTTGCAACAATGATCTCTACGGGTTATATTAATAACGTCACACCCAGGCGATGGGCTTCCGAGAGTCCCCGAACCAGCGGGCGCTGCAGGACCGGCCCAGCCTGTTGCGATCTTGGCGCCAGAGGCCAGTGTTCCCGTGGGCGTCCCACAAGCTCGTCTCTGGGGCAGGGACCCAGCACCTGGGGGGAACGTGGGGGGAAGGTGCCCAGCTGGTCCCTGTTCTGCGGCACCTTTCGGGGGCACTGAATCCCACAGGTCCCTCCCCCTCCTGACCGCAGTCCGTTTCTCCTTCTGTCCCGGCGACAGGAGCTGCCCAACGGCCTGCAGAAAGCCCAGGGCTACCTGGAGCGCCGCCTCCGGAGCCTGCAGAACCCCTACAGCGTGGCCATCAGCTCCTATGCCCTGGCCCTGGTGAACAGCCCCCTGGCCAACGCCGTCCTGGACAACTTCGCTGCCCGCAGTGAGTGCAGGGACGGGGCGGGGGGCTGGGACCGGCGCTCGGCACCGCCTGGGGCGGGGGGCTGGGACCGGCGCTCGGCACTGCCTGGGGCGGGGGCTGTGACCGGCGCTCGGCACTGCCCGGGGCGGGGGCTCATGCAGGGCAGGGATAGGCTGGGGAAATGAGGCAGAGAGGAGGGGGCTGTGCCCAATGCTGGGAGCGGGGGGCACATGTGACTGTGTGTGTGCCGTATGCGTGCAATAGCAAGTGACTCTGCACTTGTGTGTGCGTGAGGTGGGCTCTGCCCGTATGCGATGCGTGTGCATGCGTGTGCGATGCATGTGCTCTGTGTCCCATTGCTCCCCTGCTGACGGTAGCGCCGCTCTCCGCAGACGGGACACACTGGCCCGTGGACCAGCACACGGACCGCTCTCTGTACACCATCGAAGCCACGGCCTACGGCCTCCTGCAGAAGCTGACCCTCGGGCGCTTTGAGGAGACCCACCCCATCGTGCGGTGGCTGGTCGAGAGTAGGGGGTTCGGTGGGGGCTATGAGAGCACCCAGGTAAGAGCTGGCGCGGGCCGGGGGGCCCTGAGCGCCAGGAGGCGGGATCATACCTGGGCTTGAGCATGGCCAGCCCTTCCTCCCGCGGCTTCGGGGGCTTGGTTCCCAGCTGGTGGCCGGTCAGTGCCCCCTGCCGGGATCTGGGCCTTCGCTTGCTCACGGCACACAGAGCCGCTGGATGAAAACATAGATCCGCCTACTGGGAGGCTGCCATGTGCCACGGCTTTAGTGCCCGAGAAGACGCGGGAACCCAAACCAGAGAGAGACGAAACAGGCTGCTCCCTGCGGCAGGGAGGCCCGACTGCCCCAGGCTGGCTGGCTGCCGACTGACAGCCTCCACCACCCCCCACCCTGCAAGTGAACACACCCCTCCGTGCACCGCAAGCCTGCGTGCCACGGCCCTAGCAGTCCCTGGGGGAGTGGGGTGGGGACGCGCTGGCCGGTGGGGGGTGGAGATCCCAGGCAGGCCCTGCCCGCACTGCCCCTTGGGGTGGCAACGGGAGGGAGCTGGTCCCAGCGCACCCAGCCAGCAGCAAACTGGCACGGCGGGAGCAGGACCCGCTCCTCCTGCCCTGCCTGGGGGCGCTCGCGGGGCGGCCCTGCCCATTGGACTGGCTTTGGAGCAGCTGCCCGTCGCGGCCGGTGCCTCCCCGCACACGGGGGTCGAGCACGTGCTCCGGAGCTTTGCCGAACTGACGCCTCAAATACCCTCATCTGGGCAGGACCTTTCCCAGCGCCCCCCCCCCCCCACTGCCCGGCCCCTGCTGCCAGCCTCTGCTTCCTCCCCAGACCACCGTGATCGGCATGCAGGCCCTGGCGCAGTACCGGGTCGCCGTCCCCCCCGAGAAGGTCGTCGACCTGAAGGTGCAGGTCAGCGTGCCCACGCGCAACCTGGCCGAGCTCTGGGACATCGACAAAAGCAACGCCTACCTGCAGCGCTCCAACTCCAAAAAGGTCAGCCCTGCCCGCAGGCCCCGCCCCCTGCCCTCGGGCCCCGCCCTTGGCATGCAGCCCTGCCCCCTGCCCTCAATCTCCACCCCCTCCCCTGTGGTCCCGCCCCCTGCCCTCGGGCCCCGCCCCTGGCATGCAGCACCGCCCCCTGCCTCAATCTCCACCCCGCTCCCCTGGGGTCCTGCCCCTGCCCTCGGGCCCCGCCCCCCTCCCCTGGGGTCCTGCCCCCTGCCCTTGGGCCCTGCCCCCCTCCCCTGGGGTCCCGCCCACTGCCTGCAGGCCCTGCCCCTGGCACGCAGCTCTTCCTTCAGGACCCACCCCCCCAGCACATAGCCACCCCCCCACCCTCAGGCCCAGCCCTATGGAACACAGCTGCCACCCCCAACTCTTGGGCCCCACCCCCTGGCATGCAGTCACGCCCATGGCACAAAGCCACCCCCCCTGGGGACACCTGGCGTGCAGGGCAGAGCTCCCACGCGGGACCCTGTGCCCCATGGCCAGGGCAGGGCGGCTGCTGGCTCTGGGGTGCTGCACAGCCCGGCACCTCCTCAGCATCTCCCACCCTTTCCCCTGCAGTTCTACGCCCAGGAAGCTTTGAACATCACCGCCCGCGGGACGGGCACCGGCACAGTGACAGTGAGTGATGCCTGGGCCCGGGTGATCGCCCACAGCCTGACCCGGCCCTGCACCTTCTGGGGAACATGGGCACCGGGGCTGTGCCCATCACTGGGCTAGACTAGAGAGGAGCAGGGGCCAGGACTCCTGGGTTCTCTCCCTGGCTCTGGGAGGGGAGTGGGGGCTGGTGGTTAGAGCGGGGGGGCGGGAGCCAGGACTCCTGGGTTCTCTCCCCAGCTTTGGGAGGGGAGTGGGGGCTGGTGATTAGAGCAGGGGGGCTGGGCGCCAGGAGGGCTCCTGGGTTCTCTCCCCGGCTCTGGGAGGGGAGTGGGGGTTAGTGGTTAGAGCAGGGGGGCTGGGAGCCAGGACTCCTGGGTTCTCTCCCCGGCTCTGGGAGGGGAGTGGGGGCTGGTGATTAGAGCGGAGGGGGCGGGAGCCAGGAGGGCTCCTGGGTTCTGCTCCTGATGCCGGCCCCGCCTCGCTGTGCCCACGGCGAAGGGGGGGGAGGGGAGGGGTGTGCCTTGCCCACGGGCCGGCTGGCGGGGGTGACCCACTCACGCTCTCGCCTTCCTTCCCAGCTCCTGACCGTGTACCACACGCTGCCGCCGGCCCGCGAACGCGAGTGCCAGGCCTTCTGGCTGGCGGTGACCGTGGAGGACGTCCCCGAAGGTACGGCAGGGTGGTCGTCTGCTCCCCTGGGAGCCGGCCCAGCCTCCCCAGTCCATGTCCCCGGGCCCCGGCTGACAGAAACGGGGCCCCTCCGCCTAATGGGAGGAGACGCCCCCGGGGCCCAGCCCCATAGCTGGGTTCTGCCCTAACCCTGCCCTTTGGGTTTGCAGACAAGAAGAAGCACGAATACATCAACACCTTCCGGCTCCGGCTCCAGGCCAGGTAACGCCCCGGCCCTGGTGAGGGCAGAACCCAGGCACCAGGCTGAGTCCTGTAACGGCTGCAGCAGGGGGCTTGTTCCAGCGCTTACGGACCGGCGCCTTCGCGCCTCCCACTGCCTAGCAGGGCTGGGAATCAGCCGCCCCCCACTCAGACTCTGCCCCCCCTGTGGGTCCAGCCCCCCAGGTCCCTCCGCTCTGCTTCACAGCCCTGTACAAAGAACATGGAGCAGAGCAAGGCAGGGTGTGCTCCATGGGGCCCTGCCCTGCCAGCCCTGCCCCTCCCCTGTGCCCCATGGGGCCTGCCCCCTGCCCCTCCCCTGTGCCCCATGGGGCCCTGCCCCCTGCCCCTTCCCTGTGCCCCATGGGCCTTGCCCCCTGCCTGCGCCATGAGCCCCATGGGGCCCTGACTCACCAGCCCTGCCCCCTGCTTGTTCCCTGTGCCCCATGGGCCCTGCCCCCTGCTTGTTCCCTGTGCCCCATGGGGCCTGCCCTGACAGCCCTGCCCCTTCCCTGTGCCCCATGGGGCCTGCCTCCTGCCTGCACCGTGAGTCCAATGGGGCCCTGACCCACCAGCCCTGACAGCCCTGCC